TGCGTGCACAGGTACAGACACACAGACATAGACACATCAGCAGTCGCAGTATGTATGCAGCCAGGAATGCAACCTGGTGGTGTGTAGAGCAGTGCCCAACAGATAAGTCTGTGGAGGGGAGGTGGAAGAGGAAGGGGCGGGGGTGCAGATTGAGGCCCCCATGGTGAAGGAGGGGAGGGGGGGAGGGGGAGGGACAGGTCGTGGAGCCATGGGTGGCTTGTCCAGAGGCACAGGGGGAGGGCGGCTCCCTGCTGCCTCATGAATGCCCATGGGAGGCATGGGGGGCACGTGCCCCACAGATTTGTGCATGGGTTAGAGGCAGGCTGCCCACTGCGGGCTGGAGCTCTGTGCCCTGCTGCCTTTGCCCTGGGAGCCATGTGATGCCATGTTGTGCCTCCCACCATGGGATGGGCAGGGATGCATGATGCTACCAACGCATGGCTCCCGGGGCAAAGGCAGCAGGGCTCAGAGTCCCAGCCTTCAGTGGGCAGCCCACCCTCATCTCATGCACAATTCTGGACCGCACCCCCCTGCACCTCTGGATGAATCTGCTTAGAACTTGAAAAGAAGAAAAACCTTTTCCTGAAACCATAGACCCTGTACAGTATTTATTCTGGATGAGCCACCCGTGGCTCTGTCCCACAACCTGCCCCAACTCCAGGACCCCATTCACCTCCACCCCTGCCCCTGCCCCACTCCCTCCCTCACCACAGGGGCCTCGAGCTGCCCCCCTGATCCTTCCCTCTCCCCCTGCACCTTCCCATCCACAGATTTTCCTGCTGTCAGCTGCTCTACACACCTCTGGGCTGCGTTCCTGTAGGGTTCCCATATTTCCAGTTTCAAAAAAGAGGACACCTGTGGGGGGCATAGGCAGTGGAAGACTGGGGCTAATGGGACTTAACTCCCCAAAACTGGGCCAGTAAAAGTGGCTCCAATGCCACCGCAGTACCATGTATGTATGTATGTATGTATATAAAGATGTATGTACTCATATATATTATAGCGTCATGCACCTGTTAACCTCATTTGAAATTATCTATCTATCTATCACCCTATATGTGATTGGAAGCATAGGATTTTATTTCACAGGCAGGCATGTGTACGCATGTCCACTTACACACAGACTTCTTTATAAAACCTAATCATATGAACCAGTTTCTTTCATTCCTTTCTGTTTTTTCTTTCTTCCTGACTGCTGGCAAGGAGAAACCAATCTCTTTTCCTTCCCTGTGGGCAAAGAGCACTTCTTGAGGAAGAAAATCCTAATGGCTCTTTATCTTGCATTAGGCAGGAAGGGAATCTTCTTATTCTAGTAGTTTCCAGATCTAGAAGGGTTTTCCCAGTAACTATTTGTCAGGGTAAAGAAGGCCTGCTGAGTATTTGGGCATGTTTAGGATGGATAGTGCCAGCAAAGTGCATGGAGGAAGCATAAGTGCTTTTTAACAGGCATGCAGAACTCAATGTAACACAGCATTTAGGTACAGGGCTGGATTAAAATATGGGTAGTTCAGGATTACACTGAAAGCTCCAGCTCATAGAACATGGTAAGGGTACCAGAATCTAAGCCTTTGTTTCTTAAATAAAGCCTTCCCCATAGCAAGAAAAGCTTGAACACATAATTTTAATGATTACATCTGCTTGAGTCAGATGATAGCCTAAAACAACAGTTGAGTGAGGGAAGAACTGCCTTTGGCTCTCAATGTGAAGTTAATACTGAGACCCCCTGCTTTAGAACCTGGGGTCCTGGTCATCCCTAACAGATGACTTTGTGACAAGAAGACTGCAGCCTGCCCTGCCTATGTATCTAGCCATTGTGGTAAATGCTAGGTAGTGAGACTCTTAGGCTAGGGACAGACATTACACATAAACCGGTTTAGGTGATTGGAAACTGGTTTAAACTTGTAACAGAACAGATGTTCAGTTAAAACCAGTTTGAGAATGGCTGAAACTGGTTTGAAATAAACCTGGTTGAATGTAGTATCAGACTTAACTGATTTGGCTCAAGCTGGTTTGTGCAATGTCTGTTCCAGACCCCTTGCTGGTTTAAGATAAACCAGACACCCCCAGCATGCTCTCTGGGCTGGGCGGGGCTCTCTGCTCCACAGCAGGGTTGGCCCCTCCCCTCTGCTCCCTGGCTGCAGCTCCAGAGACTACATGCTGCTCCTCCCCTTCCCCTCACCACTCCCTGCTAAGCAGGAATTCCCTCTTCTCTGAGGAGGTGTCTGTGTATTAGCTACCAGACTACATGCTGACTATGGTCCTACTTAATCAACAAGTAGCTGGTAACGTCTCTCTGTTATTTCCTTAATTGGGTGATAAACACTGTTATCAATTCCCTGCTGGGCTAATCAGAGCTCCTGCTGGAGTCTGGCCATGCACCCTTCAGCTCCATGCTGTGGAAGGAAGGGAGGGCTGCTCTAGTACCCCCAGCTTCTAGCCTGAGCCACTGCAGGCATGTGCCTGCATTTCTGGGATGTCTGTCCAGTTACAAAACGCATTTAGCCTAGCCAGGTTAGACTAACCTGCAAAGATCAAATCAATTCAGGCTCAGGCTTTTTGAGTGTCTGTCCCTAGCCTTATTGGCATACCTCCCCCTGGGGTTCCAAATGAATCTCGCTAGCTGCTGATGGTAAAGGTGCTCCTACTGCCACCGCTGGAGAAGAAGGGGGGCCCATGCTGCTACTCCTTTGGAAAACAAGGGCCCCTGTATTATCACTGCTCCCATGTGTGGGTTCAGGGCTGTGAGCCAGGGCCCAGACTGCCTTGATCTGTTTAGGATAGGTAGTACAATAAAAAGTCAACCCAACTGAAACAATAGGGTGAGTTTAAAAAGGTAGGCTGTAATTTAGCCAAGACATCTGGATTACTCTCTCTATCATATAAGTCAGAGCACTGGGGGTTCTCTGGTGTTCATTTCATGTGAAAGCTTCTATCTGCAGCAGCCTAGTACCTCTAACCCCCTAAAGTAGCGCTACCACTGCATAGAACCCCTTCTTCAGGTCAGTTGTAACCTTAGATTAAACATGGATGATAGCAAGACTTTAAATGCATTTCCTGGGGCCAACATAGTATACAGATTGCAAGGTGTCGCAGAGCACCTCGGTGCTTTGCTCCTAGAGAGGAGAAACTGCCAGGGAGAGAGACAGAGCCCTGGCAGGTCATAACGAGCCCAGCTGAGTGTTGCCAGGGTAACGAGCCCAGCTGCGGGTTGCCGGGGCAACTAAGGAGAGCCAGCTGCCTGTAGGAGGCAGGGCCTGGCCCTTATAAAGCCCAGGACTGAGGCCAGGCTGGCAGTTCCCTGCCAGCAGCCAGAGAGGCAGGAGCTCCCTCAGCCAAGATATGGGAAGAAGCCTGACTTGCAAGTACAGCTCACTATAGCCCTGAGAGGATTCGGTACTATGGTTTAGCCAGGAGGCTTTATGTTTGCGTTACAGCCAGGAGGCTCTAGTTTATGTTTGGCTTACATATTATACCGGAGGCTTGGGTGAGGCTGTAGGGGTTGGAGGAGGCCTCATAGGGACCCCAGAGAGTGTGGGGTGCCCTAGCGCCAAGAGGGCGCAGTGTCCTCATAGGGACCCCAGAGGTGTGGGGTCCCTGAGCGCAACCAGTGGATTGCGGGCGGGGAACAGACCCCGGGTTGTATGCGGGGTATGTAGACCCCAGCCCCAGAGTGGGGC